GAGTTGCTGAAAACATACGTTTGCCATAAACTAACTTTTCTTTTACTATTGAGCAGGGGGTGAAATGCTGAAGATCGCGGTCGCTAATATTCTGCGTGTTTGCAGTCTCGAATTTGGTAGCAAACTTACACTAGTTACGATAAGCAACTGAAAAAAAACTATTGTGGACCATCTACCAGATACACAGACCAATACCGTGTCAACTAACCTGATCCAGTGAATTCATCATCATTATAATCGCTGAAGACCTGCAATCGGAGATTCCGAGTGGAGAGCATGGCTCGAATGCCGTAGTCATTAGCCGATCGGGATACGTTATCGACGACGAAGGGCTCCCTAGAAGCGGTCCGCGAGGTTTTCGAGGCCGTGAGATCAGCCGGTGGGCTTGTCAACAGCAGACGATGTTCGGAGTCGCATTGATAGAAGTCTCCAGCGCGGACTCGAAACAAGTTTCGGCCTCCAGCGTGCAACACCAAAGGGCGACCGACTAAAGGGCAAACAAAAAAGGGAAGACGGAAATATTGGTGGAGTACAAATACTCGTGGGCGAAATCGGCCGATTTAGAAAGAAAGCCTTTTACAATAAAAGCAAGATAAGGTACGCTAAAAGTTAAGGATAAACGGTATATTTCAGGACAGGGGAAAGTAAGTCGGTTGTTTAAAACAGAGCAATTATTGCATTTAATAGGATTGTGAAAACACGAGGGTGTTAACCGGGGAAGGCTTTAGTACAGCCAACGTTCCAGCCAACAGAGCTACGAGATCCCGCTCAGAAGCATGAATTTAATCACACTTGTTTGACACCAGGCTTGCTTCGGCAAACTTGACAGCTAAATTTCTATCAGGATGTGCCAAACCGACTTTTAAAAGTAAAAATGGGAGTAAATGCCGAACTTACGAAGTCCAGAGATCCCTCAGTGTTAAAGGAACTTAGCAGATTGCTGAGGCAAGCGTGACAGCCAAACTCCTATCAGGATGTGCGAAGCCGAATTTTCAAATTAATCACACTTTGGTCAAGTTACCTGCCCAGTCTACTGCAACTTATGGAATCTACCAATTCTGATACATTAAGTTAACTGTCCCTTTAGAGTATCCTGAGTAATCAATCTAGAATCCACCAGATGACTAGTAGGTACACTTTATTAGTAGGGCAGATTCGAATAATTCATTTAACCCAATTGGGATAACATTATTTCAATATTTTCCGTAGTTTTTGCTTAAATAGTCGATAGGACTCAGAAGGAAGTCACAAAAATGCATGTCAGAGAGACGTGTAAAGTCCTGTCGAAAAGTGACTCCTGTATTACGAAATACGCTTTAGAAGTCAGGAAGTAAAGGTGAACGAAACCAATGTTCGCGACCAGTGAAGAAGGAATCGTTACTTACTGTCCTTTATTACTGGATGCTTTCGGCATCGTCGAAGGCGATTTATCGATGGTAAGCATGAAGAAGAGTCATTTAGAAAGGCCTGGACCACAGTGCCTGCCGGACATATTTCTCAGTCATCTTATTTCCGTAAATAAAGAGGTAAATCTGAGCGGGCGGTATTTCCCACATTATGTGGGTCGAATACCGACTGAATGAGAGTGGGAAAAATCCAGTGTTGCTTTTGGAAACGTTAAAGAAACGTTTAATGGTAGAGTTCACTCCCTCGTGACCACTCAATAAAAAAACATAATTGCAGACTAGAGTTTGCGGTCGAGAGTAAGACAGTTTCAGACGTGATTAAGGCACGCAAGTCCAGTCACGTGGAACTACGTATCGTAAGCTCAGCCGTCATTTACTATTATCGAAAGTTCGACTGAAACCAACGTCGCGCAGTCAACTGCAAGAACCTGAGGTAGGCCTGAGTGATCGGCTTTCATGCATTTTGCCCTAGTAGCCTCTACGTTTGTCCGAAAATGAAAATTGATTCCCCAAACGAAAAAAAAGATTAAGGGTTTTGGGCAGATTTGATCGAGTTATTTGGCCCACTGCTGAAAGCGACAGCGGCCTCGGACGACTCGAACTCACGCAGACAAGGGTAAAGCTTTAGTACAGCCAATACTCTAACCCAGGGGTCGGCAACCTTTTTAACTCAAAGAGCCAAAAAAGCAAATATTTGGGAAAATATTTCAGTGAGAGCCATATGCTATATTTTAAGATGAAATTCAATTAAATGCGAGTAAAATAAGCCACTGAATCTATTTTTTTAAACGATGTCCTTATAATACTCATTGTTAATGCGACTTCTGGCGCTGCATGGATTCGCTGATGGCTTTATAGACTGGTTGGTATTTGGTGAGGTTTAGCTTCATGTAAGCGTTGAAGCTTTCATCCGTTAGACGTGATCTTAGGGTGGACTTGATGTATCTCAAATGTGAGAATGACTGATCACTTGCATACGTAGATCTAAACAGGGTCAATACAACAATACTCACGCGCTGCAGTGCGTGCTATGTAACCGGAAGCATGTTCCAAGTTTTGATTATCAGCTGGACTTCGGGTTGAAGTTTTTTTGAATTTATGTCCACATTCGTTTGCTTGCCAACTCCGCTTTATGTCGTGCGATTCTTTCCGAATCTTCATTGAGTGATTTAAACTTACTCACCCACATGTCTGAAGCCTTCAGATCAGCCAATACTTCTTCGAAATCTCTAAGGGAGACACCAGGAATATAACTTATGTTGGCTGTGTTCAGTGAACGCTCGGTTGGATGGGTGATGAAATTACTAGAACGAGTGTGCTCTCGAAATTCTCTACTCCGTGCTTTGAGCGAATATAGGAGACTAAATGTGAAGCTAACTAGCTGGTGGTGATAAAAGTTTTGAGTGGACTCGCTTACTGTGCATGCATCTTTATACTGTCTCAGTTTTTCAAAATGTGGTAAACGATCTGTTGCAAGATCCATGATAAAGAGTTCCAGTCTGTTTTCAAAGGCAAACGCGGATTGTTGAAGGGATAACACTGTATTTCCATTGCCTT